TCCAATCTCTAACATTCTGTGATTGTGATCCCACCTGGAGTACTGCGTCCAGCTCCAGGGCCCCCAAGATAAGAAGGACCTGTTGGAGTGGGTCCAGAGGAGGGCCATGAAGATGATCAGAGCATTGGAGCACCTCCCCTATGAGGACAGGCTGAGAGAGTTGGGGTTGTTTAGCCTGGAGAAGAAAAGGCTCCAGGGAGACCTTATAGTGGCCTTCCAGTACCTAAAGGGGGGGCCTACTGGAGAGATGGGGAAGCACTCTTTATCAGGGAGTGTAGTGACAGGATGAGGGGGAACGGTCTTAAACTGAAAGAGTGGAGATTTAGATTAGATATTAGGAAGACATTTTTTCCTGTGAGGGTGGTGAGGCACTGGAACAGGTTGCCCAGAGAAGTTGTGGATGCCCCATCCCTGGAGGAGTTCAAGGCCAAGCTGGATGGGGCTTTGAGCAACGTGCTCTAGTGGAAGGTGTCCCTGCCCATGGCAGAGGGGTTGGAACTCTTAAACTGAAAGAGTGGAGATTTAGATTAGATATTAGGAAGACATTTTTTCCTGTGAGGGTGGTGAGGCACTGGAACAGGTTGCCCAGAGAAGTTGTGGATGCCCCATCCCTGGAGGAGTTCAAGGCCAAGCTGGATGGGGCTTTGAGCAACGTGCTCTAGTGGAAGGTGTCCCTGCCCATGGCAGAGGGGTTGGAACTGCAGCCATTGTATGAAATTATTAGTACTTCTGAACATAGATTTTGTAGCAAGTAAGGCTGATAGTTGATGTTAGGTCAGGTCTTTGTAGTTCTCAGAGTAACTTTGATTCTTAAAGATGCTGTAGAAGGCATTTACACCTGTAGATCTCAGATTTAATTCTAAAATTTGCAAACTTTATTAGATAAGTTTTCAAACTTGTCCATTTGCCTCATGCAAAACACCATATACCTGCTTGAACAACAGCTATACAAATGTAATATTACTAATATAACTGTTAACATTTAATTTGTTCATCTTATAGCTGCAGTTTGGCATCAGGTTTTAGCAAAAAAATCAGGTAGCGACTGTTTTTCAGTACAATACAGCTGTAAACTAGTTAAGTTACCAAACAGTCCCCGAGAAGTTTCTTTCAGCCTTGTCTGAACATGATATTAAATTGGTCATTCTTTGTGCTTAGGAAAAGCCCATACAAACATTATTAATATCTTTATTAAATTTGACTTTTGAATAAAATATTTTTCACAATTACTTGAATGTGAAGTGTTCCCTTTAGAAACATTGATTCTGACAATGAAATGTATACCTTCTTTTAATTAGATGTGCATTGTTAAAAAAATTCACTATTGGTTATTTTGGTTACATATTTTCCCTAATGATTTATTTAACACTAAACAGGTAATTTGTTTTTATAAACGATATTAATGCCAGAACAGACAAACATATGTATGTGCCTTTCCATTTTTTTTCTCAGAGGAAGGAAGGAGCTAATATTGTAAACATTCTCTTTCAGGTCATATACAGTAAGCAATCAATATTCTTTGTATGGGAATTGAAGTGGACAAAAGAGCTTCCTCTCTCCTTGCAGTGCCTGTTTTCAGTCAGCTTTTGTCCAGCTACCTCTGAAGAACAGTCTCTTACCCTGAAGCCGTTCACTTATGAATTCCAAGTGGAAAATTTTTTTGTAAGTACTCTTCTAAGTATAGCATATGTTAACTAAATATGTTTTCCTAATATATGGGAAGGAAAAGTCAAGAAATATATTAGAAAACTTCTGTTTACATAATGAGATGGATACCTGCTTAGAATCATTGGAAAGCCAGTTTGTTGAACAATAGAACTGAAGCCTGATAGGATATGGCAAAATCATAGACTTCCCACTGGAATGAGGGAGAAAAAAAACCCGTAATACATGTGCAAGTGTCCTTGATCTTGTTTCATTTTTTTTTTCCTGTGTTTTTGCCTTTCTGGGCTTGTGCCGTGGCAATTGTCCTTACGTTACTGAGCTGCTTTTTCCCTGCTGGCTTAAGACTGCACTCTCCAATGCAAATTGCAATTTCCAAAAAATCTTTGCTATCAAAAGCATTTAAGCTGGGTTTTGTAGTGCCTGAGATGAGCTCCTCTAATTAAATATTTAGGGTTTTCTAGGCCATTATCTTTAAATGTTTCTTCTTTCCCATTATGGACAAACTTTTTATTCCTTGTATCAGCTAAGAAGCTTATAGGCTAGATAGAATTCCTTTAATAGGAAGTTATATCAACATTATTTCATCTCATCTCTAAATTCAGTCTTGTGTTACCCTTTTTTAGGCTTGAGTAAAAAGTAGTAACATGAGAAGACTCACATTTGGTTAAATCCTTTTGTCTGTTTTCAGTGTTGCTGTGTTCTCTACTCACTTATTGGAAAGTGACATTGAGCAATATTTTAGGTATTTATTTACTTACTGGCATGTAGCTAGCATTTGTTAGCACCTGTGTCAGCATCTTTGGAGTTTTTAAAGAGAACTAACTGTGTTAAATAGTGGAGGTTTTTGGTAGAAATTTAATTCTGTAGTAATTAAAAATTAGCTCTTTAATGATGTGACCACCGTTATTCTGGGGACTGTGATGGTAAGAGTGATTAAATAGTTCTCCTGTATTACTCAGAATTTGAGTGATATGTCTGGAAAATGAGGAGCCAAGAAACTAGTAAAAGTTTGTTTAAATAGTAAGAAGATTGATATCCCTTTAGGAGCATTGAAAGGCTGAGTTAAAGCATGTAAGTGGAGGGAAAAAATGGTGTGTTCGCTGCTGGTATCAAAAATAGGTTGAGTCAAATTTGATTTGCTTATTTTCTCAAGTTGAGCAAGATAATCAAGTGAACATTACTTACAAGTCAATCTTGCATTAAAAAGATTTAATGGATGTTAAATGTAGAGTTAAGTTTGCACTGTATCAATTATCTGGTTCAGTTTAAACACAAGTAAAACACCCCTTTTTTCTTGATAACAGCACTGTTTTCTTCCTGACAGACATTGTATCATGTGAAAACTGAAATTTTTCCACCATTGGGGGCAGAGTATTGTAAAATAGGCTCACTCTGCTCTTTAGAGGTGTCAATCACCCGACTTGTTGACCTCTCAGAGGTTGACAGAGATGAAGCATTGACAGAATCAGATGGATATTGCACAACAAAACTTATGTATGAAGGTAAGAATATTTTTCTTAAGCATATTGATAAAATTCCCCAGTTTTGTCTTGAAAATGACGTCTGCCAGGCTTTCCGTGGCATGTATTCTGTGAGTATGGCTGCTCAGTAAAGCAGTTTTCATTTTGCTAGACTGAGAATATGTTATTTTTTCATCATTAATATGCCTTCAAGTGGAGTATAAATGCTGTTCAGACTGGATGGATACTTACTTGAGGCCCAACTATGGTCCCTTTTCTGAAAGGCTTTTTTCTTACCTTGCACAGCTCTTCACACGTAGAAGCTGTTGGGCTTTTAGATGTTGCTAAAATACTGATTTTAAAAGTGCTCTAAAACTACACTGAGGGTTCTCCATTTTTCAGAAAAGCTCTATATAGTGTTTCCTTCTTATTCTTGCAGTTGTTGACAACAGTAGTAACTGGGCAGTCTGTGGAAAAAGTTCTGGAGTGATATCTATGCCTGTAGCAGCTCAAGCAACTCACAAGGTCCACATGGAAGTGATGCCACTGTTTGCGGGATATCTACCTTTTCCTGATGTCAGATTGTTTAAATACCTCCCTCACCATTCTGCTCACTCCATGCAACTTGATGCTGGTAATGCTATCTTGACTACATAGCTGTTTACAGAAATGATTCTGCTTCTCCTGTGTTCTTGTGTAAAGAGAGAAGCAAGGCAAGGAAGAGTATTGACCAAATGCTCCTAGGTCTTACCTTCACTCACAGTTCTGATTTGAAACTTATAGTGTTGCTCTAACGGGAACTTTGAATTTGGGTTACAGCCTTATTGTGAGGAGGAATAATAAATGCATTGTTGTTATATTTCTTTTAAAGATTATTGTACAAATTAGTTGTCACTGGATTTATAATCAAGTGAAAATTATTTGATAACACTCTAATCCTGCAGTTTCATTGTCTGTAAAATGCACATCTACTGTGTCTTCATTAGCTTAAGGAAAGGATTAAGTATGAAATAAAAGAACTGCTGAAAATTTGTGGCATATAAACCAGATTAGATGAAGAGTTTAAATTATTACAGCCATCTAGAGTATTTATCTGTACCATTGAGTAGTTCCAGCACTGTAGTGAGAATTCACTCATGCAAGGAACTTACCATTTGTCAGCAGAGCTCCAGGAACTGCCAGTGTGCACCATTCTATCCTATGACAAATGCAAAGTAATGCTACTTAAATTTTCCGTAGAAACCAATATAACTCTGCTGCTGGCCAAAACTGCACAGACTCTTACCTCAGCAGAGATATCAGTAACGGTTAACATGGGGTATGTTGACGGTGTGTCTCAGCTCTGAAATAATTTTTAAGTTGTTTAAGCACTCCATAGAATAAGATTTGGGTTTTTGTTTTAAACAGATAGCTGGATTGAAAATGATAACCTCTCTGTGGACAAGAATGTGGATGATCAAGCTGACAGCAGCAGCATAAGGAGCAGAGGTAGCTTGCATTCTGCAGCTAGTGGGGAACACAAAGGTTTGCCAATGCCCCGTCTGCAATCGTTTTCATCTGGTCAGGTCTTCAACTGCAGCACGGGTATGCAAATACTTGTCATTCCCAGCAAGGACGACCATGTTCTGGAAGTCAATATCACGTGACAACACAGTATGAAAACAAGGAAAACAAAAAACATTTGAAACTGGATATGAAAGCACTTTAAAGGATTATGACCTGATTCGTTGTTGTTGTAACATTCTAACTCTACGGAGACCTATGGCACTCAACATGTACTGGCCATGGAAGCACCAGACAATTGTATCAATTTAAATGTACAGTGAAGCTTGTGTCAGCTAGTTTATATTGCCACTTTAGTATGTTTGTGTAAGCTATTGGGTTTTCTCCTGTCAGTCACATCCTGCATCACAACACAGGGCAACAGAAACAAAAAATCCAAATATTTGGACCACTTCTTTATTTTTGTCTGGCAGTTGAGAGATTTGTTTCATGCTTCCTACGTATTTGAGAATCTAGGGTTGGATGATAAAAATCCAAGATTTGGATAATTATATGTAATAATTTACAGGCTTTTCCACACATGTGCCAGAAACACAACAAAGCATACAACAGCACATTCACTGGTGTAATAATAGTTGCTTTTCAGTTTTGGTTTCTTTTGTTTATCGCTGTTAATTCCTGCCATTGCAATTTTATACTAAACTTCCATCATTTGCATACTTAGATGCATGGAAGAGCTACTGCTATAAACAATCTTAACTGAACAAAATTCCTTAATTTTTTGAGGCTTTCTCCTTCACAGAGTAGACACTGTGATGTCACATATTATATGATTTTGGGAGGAAGAGGGTTGGGTCGCCCTCTTGCATAGTTCTTACCAAAGAAAGATACTGATAGAATTTAATAATAAATTATTTGGCTTATTGAGTTCCCAGATTAATTTCTTTTATTACCATTTCTAAGTGGCTTGGTTTGCTGCCCCAATTTTTAAATTGGGGCAAAAACTTTCAGTATGATGTGATACTTGAACAGTCAACCTTTCATCATAAAGGCTTAGTGTAATTATTACTGATTAGAGGCCAGACTTCCGCATTCATGATGGAAGAAAGAGGTTGGTTTAATATAGGAGAGCTTGCAGATGTAGAATAGTTGTGAAGCAAAGTTAAAACATGTAACTTAAAGAATTTCATTATTTATATCTGAAATGTAAATACAAACACATGTAAAAAAAAAAAGTGTAATTTTTGTGAATGTTGCAAATCCACCTGTGACTGGAAAAATTACAACTCCTGGTGTCCTGCTTCTGATGCAGAAACTTGTGCATTTATTGTGAGAATACACAATACACAGTCTTTCTACTTGCAGATCTATAATGGTGCGTTGTCAACAGACTCCACAGAGGAAAACTGTCCCATATCAAAAAATTGTCAGTAAAGCTAATGTGAGGAGCTGCTCATTAGACAAGTTCATTGTTGTTATTTTTTTCTAAACTCAGGTTCTGCTGAATTATAAAGGGGAGGAAAAAAACCAAACCCTCTTTCCAAAAATAATTGTAATTAAGTTGAAAAATGAATAGGCACCCTGCACTAGTCTAAACATTTTTAAATTATTTTTTATTTAAAAATAACAATATGTCTAAATAGATGTATAAAGTAGACCTGCTAGCTGGAAATGTTCTCGTTATGCATCTTCTTTCTGTGAAGGAATGCCCTTTCTCTGTGGAAATCATAGCATTTTATTCTGGATAAAACCCAAAGCATCATTTAGTGTGAATGACTGCTGGGATTCTTTGACTGGAAATGGTAACAAGTTAGTGACTTTGACACTACAGGTATTATAATTAATTCAATTTTCATGGTTTGCTATTAAATCATTTTTCACATTGTTCTGTAATATACTGTTAGATTAAACACATTGTACTAAGATTGTTTAATGAAATTGTAAGCGTTACAATTCTAAATATACATGTTTTAGAAAGAAATCCACCTTCTGTGCTGCCCTGACGCCTATTTTCCTGTGGGTTAAGGAGCGATTGTTTCATCTCTTTCAGCCACAGCTACTTTACCGGAAAAAATATTTTCTGAACTTAAAAGAGGGGACATATTTAGAATGGCGGTGTAAAGCCTGTCCCCGCAGGGGAGCCGCTTCAGGGCTGCTGCTCGGCAGGTTCCGAGTAGCTCCCCTGGCACCAGCAAAGCACTCGGACAGGCACGGCCCGCCCCCGGCTCCCCGGTCTTTGTACTGCCGCTTCGGTCCCGCCGGGAGCTGCGCGGCCAGCGGCGCTGCCCTGAGGGGAGCGGCTGAGGAAGCGAACACGGCACCGGCTGCAGAGTGACAGAAGGGCCTGTGCCGCGGCGGGCGTGCGGAGAAGAGGAAGACTGCCCTCACGGGCTTAAAGCGCGGGGCCC